TAATAAAGTAGATTTCATTAACCATATGGGTATAACTTACTGTAGATTGCTCTATAATCTGAAGTTTTATTAGACATTATTGCTCTAATCTGGTATTGTTTGCAAAGATCTTTCGAACTGCTTATTTCGTTTGTTACACAAATTTTGGTAGTACAGGCCACCAAAAGCAGTACTTGCCAGACAAATGAAGTGATAATATTGTGAAAGAATCGATGGAAAAGTAGTTCAATCAATCAATAAATGAATAATGATAGTATTTGATAACTGAGACAGGCTAGTTGGAACACGGTTAAAAGGGGCTCCTTTAAGTTAGAGAAGCTTATCTCAGTCTTATACATACTGTGATAAAAAAATCTATAGCTGATTCACCACCGACCTCCATTCTGAGTCAAAATATCGAATCATAGTTGCATCATCTCTAAGACTCCCACCGAGAAGTCATGGTAGACCAATAAAAGCCAATCCTGTATATCTATCTTCAGTACTATTGTGTCATGTTGTTAGCCCAAGGCTGAAGAGAAATAGTCAGATTGATCAACCCTACCCAACACTACTATTGAATCGAACAGTGCCTGTATACCATCACTCTCAGATGTTGTTTTGCAGCAACTATGACAGTGTTCTAGCATTTGAAGGAGAGTGAAAAGGTGATCAATACTGAACAAAAACTAGCCTTCTCTTTACTAGTCACTCTTCAACGGGTTTCGCATAATTGTAGTATAACAGAAGTTGAAAAATTGGGAATTATCAAAATATTTGTAGCCCAATACTTGTTCAATAGATTGCGCATGGTCTTTTTAAAGGTGAGAACGACGAACGCTACATCACAAGATGGTGGGATGAGCAGTCAGAAATCCGTCAGTCTTAAACAGGTGTAACAACTAAGTCATCCGGAGCTAGTGACTTGTGGCGCTTCAAAGTTAGAGCTCACTACGGACCTCCGCCACCCCGAATGGGACAGTAGTTAAGGTTTACAGGACAGTCTGGTTTGTAAGAGCTTGAACTAACAGGAAGCAGTTTGAAGACCAGAAGGCAGTAGCCCACCAACACGACCATAGCTTCTGCCTTGACGTAGCGGTCAGCTTTGCCTTTCGTGACTATTCAACCGAGCTATATTGGCGTGAATACATGTACCCTTAAGTCCTACCGTGCCAGGTAGGTCACTTAGAAGACTGTAACCCTTAAAGCAGCAACTTAAGCTCTGAGGATGAAGTACTGCTGAATATGGAGGGGTGTGACAGCAACAAGATGTTCCCCTCGGACTGACACACCTGCAACGCCGCTACGTCCTCACAACAGAAGGCGCTACGAAATTTCGCAAATCCTGCCTCATAGATTTCTGCCTTCGGTAGTAAGGCCTTATGGAGTGTGGAGCTAACACATCAAAAGCTTCCCATAAAAAGGTCGAGCATGACGGGCCTCAACCAGTTGTCTCCTCGACTCTGTGACCACACTCCCACGTCACTAAGACCACCACCAAATCAGCTTAGTTTTCAGGTCTCTCAAGAAGGAATGTCCCACCACGGTGTGGACTGCCGGGAAGTAATAAGCGCCCTTATACCTCTACCAACACCTGAGGTCACCTTGTTCACGACAACCCCCCTCAACTCTTGATAATTATCCCACCTCCACGAACAATACTTCTCGCATATCATCACGCGCCAGCAATGCTAATGATTTGCGCTTGAGAACTATTATTTCTGGTTTCCTGAAACTACTACCTAAACTACATATTATAGCTTTTAATGTTCGAAATTTTTGTCGAATAGAGCAACAGACTTTCCTAACTAGGAATCTAGAATCTCACACCATCGATGTCTGCTGTGCCTCGCGAACGCACATCAGTCAGTCAGCTAGAACGGTCCAAGTTACCATACCTCATTAGCACAACAAGATGAACACCGGATTCATAGAAGTAGTTAATTCAGTGGTGGTAATATATGAAAGAAAGATTGCATATAAGGACATAGTACAGGAAGAAACAATTAGTTCGTAGAAATAGAGATATAAAGCGATTTTAATCTCATAGTTTAAGAGAGGAGAGAGAGTGTATACAACGACGCCATATCACCCAGAGTCTCCAACCATTGGTTACAATAGTCACGCGGACCCCAACCAAGTAGTTTGCATCTACCAACATGGCTCAGACCAGAAGTTAGTAACTTCAATGTCTGATGCCACGTTTCAGTTTGGCCGCCCTTAACTTTCTTCCAACCGTATCCAGCACTAGTCAGCATTGCGCATCGTGGTAATCGGTGTTCAGGTATACGCAACACGTGACCCAACCATCTCAGTCGATGAAGATTCACAACCTCATCAACTGATTTACCATCATTCCCTAATACCCTACGTCTAACCTCACTATTACTTACCCGGTGATCCCGGCAGATACGAGCAATATTTCTAAGGCATCTGTGGTCAGATACTAGTGACTTACGAGTATCTTCTACTCTTAATGGCCACGTTTCGTAGCCGTATGGTAGAACAGAATGAACTGCTGCGCAGTATACTCGTCCCTTGATTGGTAGACGGATATCTCACCTTCGTCACAGGTGATGTATGTTGGCAAAAGCCAAACGAGTTTTCTGAGTCCGTGCAGTTCTTTGGTCAGACACCAACCCATTAGGGCTGATCAGACATCCAAGATAAGTGAAGTTTTAGATGCGTTCGACTATTTTACTCCCTATCGTTAGTTCAGGTGTTGAGGTAGACCAGTCCTTAAGCAACTATTCGCATTTAGAAGGGGGAGAAGCGCATCCCAAACATTCTGGCATTGTTGCCCAGTGCTACCCAAAGACTCTGCATTTTATCAGCGTCTTCACTACACTGGGCTTTGTCATCTGTGTTTTCTAATACGACCTGCTGATGGGAGATCAATTCCCGAATATTCGTTCTAAACGTCTAGACTGGAAGCAGATGAGTGTCGTCTTTTTCTGAGATAGTTTCACTTACACTTATTAATTCCAGTCTGAAGAGCGGTCTTGTGTAACCTACGGCCGTCGTCTTTACCATCTCTTTTGCTTTCATTGCCAACCACTGCTCAAGGTTTAGCTTTCTGAAGAATTTCAGAAAGCTTTCTGTAAAAGCCATCTCTCACTTCGTACGGGATGTACTCAGCGGGAGCGTAGGCAAAAACGATTAAAATACAACGAAGTGTGCCTCCATCCTTACGAGTTCTTACGAAGAACATAGGCGACTATTAACGGGGACCCACTCTAATAGTGCTTGTTCTGCCCTCGTACTTAGTGTTATACCTACATCTGTTAGTCCACGAGAACTAGCCGTCGGGTCGCCAGATACACGGAGGGCGTTTCTCGTCGTTTTGGCGAGGTGAGGTCAAGTGAATGGCCACACTACGATCTTGATTATATGTTTCGCAGACACAGCATACATCAATGGTACGAGATCCTAAAGTTTTAGTCAAGGAGGCCTGCTGACCGATTTGACACAAAATGATTACGTTGAAAGCTCTAATGTGTAGTTCAGAGTGAGGTCTCAGTAGACCTGAGAGGAAGTTAAGAGTTGAAAGCCGACATATAAGGAGTACTAAAAACTGTAGAGGGAGATTGATTATGAACACAGTGATCTTGAGTGGTACGGTTATCACTTCCCGGCTGCCCACACCGTAGAAGGGTTCTTCTGGAGGTACCTGAAAAGGAAATTGGATTAGAGGTGGTCTTAGTGACCTGGGAGCGTGACCGCAGTGCCCAAGGGACAACTGCTTGAGGTCGGTCACACACGACCTTTTTATGGGTAATTTTTTTTGTTAGCTCCGTACTTGTTGACACCCTAACGGCGGAGACGGATGTCCGTGGGATAAAACGAGGTGTGCGTTTTTAAGGTCGACCTCTTCCGACCCCACCCCTCCTTGTGGGAGGGCAACATCACTGTTATGCTGGTTGTCTGAAGGAAACATCTTGCTGTTGTCACACCTCTGTACAGTCAGCAGTACGATTTCGCCTTCGGACTTCGAGTTTGTTGCTTTTAGTCTTAGCGCTCCTCCGCAGGACCTTGAGGGACGTTGTTTCACCCAGTATAGCTCGTTTGCTTCATCACAATAGGCAAGCCAGACCACCACCTCAGGGTAGCAACATTGGTCGGGCCCAAAAGCACACGTAGGATCCACGTACTGACATTCATATGACCTCACCACGTCAATATAAATAACCAAAACGAATTACACTTCTAGTATCTGGAAACCCCACTGCTACTTACCTTGACCTCGCTTGTGTACGTATAGCATTAAGTTCAAACGCAGAACAGGGTTCGTCAGGCTGAATTACAATAGAAAGCTAGCTTCAATTGACTCATGATCTCATCTGTTGAAATTTATTTTATTTGTTGATGGCCGTCATAGAACCACATAACTTCTTACCGTGATTTGGAATGTCGATTATCACAAAAATACAAATCACCATACTGAAAATTCTAATGGTAGAGAATTGTCTGCTCGGCTATCTTCACAATCGCTGCTCATGTAAGTGATTTTCGAGTCCCTGTCTCCAATCAAGTTGTCGAAATAAATGCAGAATTATTACGTAACATAATTAAGGCAGCGATCTAGACACTGACTTCGAACAAAGGACTTGTTTTGTCATAAAACGTAAACAAAATGCCAACTTATTGAGATTGTAAAAACGTAGTTATATATCCGCTTAAAGCTACGAGCAAGTGGGACCCATATCACTGGTGGTTATCATAAAAAATTTTACATCTTCAAGTGAAATCTAGCACATGTCTAAGCTGAATTTGAAGGATGCATATAAAACCCACTTTCTGCTACCCAATGTTTGTATACGAAATATTTCGAACGAGGTCGAGATTTTGGTAAGAACAGATAGTCATGGCGACTGGTTGTGATGTTCTTAATATTTCAACTACAAGCCTGCACAAGTGTATTTCAAATTGCTGAAGCTATTTCTCAGTAGAGCGAGGGCTTAGCGCACTACCCTATTACATGAAATCCAACACCACGGGTCATGATCTAAAAAGACTAACAATAGCGACATGACAATCTATTTTGAACACAAACTGAAAATGGTTCCAACCAGAATGGGACTAAAGTGAAACTACCAAATCGAGTTTTCAAGTACTCGTGAATTAAGCTAATGGTATAATCCGTACTGGCGACTGCATTCTTTTAGAGCTTCAGAGAAGCCACTGCAAGCACTTATATCACTTTGAGATTGAGCGCATCGAATAAGTTCATCGACATGGTATTGACATGGAGATTGAGATTGATCCAAAGTTGAGGATATCTGGGCAGGCTGAGCAGGATTGCCACCCAATCCACCTGACAATGCTCCCGTAACAGCGTGACCAACAACTGAACCAATAGCTACACCCCCGGCTGTAGCTGCCATCTGTCCCATTAAACCTGGCTGTCGCGGTTGTGCTGGAGGCTGTGCAACAGCAGATGGAGGTGCACGAGCTGGCAAATTTGCACGTGGACGAGACGAAACTCTTGAAGGACTAGATCCTCTATAAAATTTAAAGACATCGTGTAAAATACAATTGATAAGGTCACCTTCGAGGCATTGTGTTGAGCTTTTTGAAGAACACGCTGCTAGTTTTCCTACGACAAGGCCACTAGCAATTAAAACAAATATTTACACACATTAACAATTTAAGTATGTGAAATTGGTCTTGTATGTTTACGAGATCCGCCCGTTTATGTTAGTTTTTCGACAGTATTTTCAACAAAATAACATTCAATAGTTGGATTCAGATTTGAGTTGTTAGGACAGAAGGCAGACGGCCCTCTAATACCAGATAAAAAAAGTAGTTAACCGAAAAGTATTTTCATTTTATGCGGAACGATTTGGATCATCTGATACACTTAGGTAGCACTCCAGAGCAAAAGTCAGATGTTGAGGCCGTTGTCAAATCATGTTGTTTGCCTGTAAAATTTCAAGCCCATAGATCGTTTTTCAAATCTGTTTTTCAAAAATTTTAACATTAATTAACCCTGTTAATAAATTCTTTCGTATGATAAATCAACAAATATTGATTCAGATCCTGATATGTGTAGTAAGCGGAGGAGGCCTTGCCTTATGTTATTCGTTCTCTAGTATTCATGTGTGAATTTTTAGTCTTATCATGTATATGTCAATTGAAGTTGCGGACACCACTGTTTCGTGTAACATATCCTTAGAATCGATGTTTAGATGTGAAAATCCGTATGCTACTGGCATTCTGTTTGTAAATGGTCTGTTATGTCGCCTAAGATTTGCTGATCTAGTAAGAAGAGAGAGAAAGGATATATTAGGTCCAAAATCATTTTTCACTATTCTGTAAATCAAGATTAGATAAATCCTTCGGATCGTTAAGATAGAAGTGTTCGTCAAAATCAACAGTTTGATGCTAACAAAGTTATTTATTTTCGAAAGCTATTCATTGGTAAAAAACTTTGCCCAAATATTTTCACCTCAGTAGGTGGGGCTGTAATGGTACTAACCAACAGAGTGGAGTTTTATATCACACAGAGGGACCGCTTCGTAGTAAACATGGAGTGGCGTACGAGGTATTTCGCTTATTCGGTTTTTAACAAGGGCATGTGGAATCATCATTTGTTATATACTCTTTGTATCATGATTTTAATTTCATGCTATTACTGTTAATTATGGCTTTCACAAAATCGCGCTACAATCGACTTATTTGAACATAGGATGTAGATATAACAACTGTAAGGCAGTTCATTGTACAAGCTCTTCACGAAGGAACATTCACTGTATGAGCAGCAGAAATGGAAAATTGCGTTCTCATCCCCAATGCCAGTAAATAAATTTTTGTTTCGGACCAGTTTATTAATAAACAAGTCCTCCGTTCCCTCGCACTATTTTTCGGGCCAGACGTATGTTGAACGTTTTAATGGTGTAAGCCAGTCGATGCGGTTGGGACTCTTTTGGTCCTATTCAATTCCGTTCATTCAGCCTTCAGAGCTCCGATGTGACTGAGTAGTGTATTTGAGTCTGCAATGTCAAAGCAAATATATAACAGAAATACATTGAATTTACCAACTAGTGGATGTTATGGTCAGAATTTTCCAGTTTTTTGGTTATATAGGAATCAAACCTCACCTTACGGCATATATTTGGAGCACGGTATGGTAATTTTGTCACTCAGAAGATAGTTATGCGCTTTCCAACTCTTTATTTCATTGTCTTAACTACCGTCCCGTTCATCTCTTAATATTCGGAATTCTGCATAACTTCTCAGCCCAATTACTAGATCGTAACTTATGAACGTACTAAACCGTGACAATGTAAAAGTAGTATTATGCGTTTTCGCTGGTTTAGTGGTTGGATGGAATATTGTGAAGGGAACTTATTGTTGAGTCTCCAGTGACGCCTTCAAATGGGTTATGTTTGTGTTTCTATGAACATGTTGGGTTTAGTTACCAGATATAGCCACCGCCTACCTATGGAGTGTTATATTTTTGGCCTGTCTACTTCACTCTACCATGTCTCTACCATGTTAACGGAAACCTGTGCTCCAAATCTCTAACTACTTGTTACATCCAAATTTTGCTCTAGTCCGTTTCTAGAACATGTTTGATTGATCCACTCGTAACTTATGACCCGAATAACAAGATAACTTAATTACATTTCGGTTACCAAAGTTTGTCCATAAATTACAAGTAGTCGACCAAAACAGAATGTACTAATCAGAACAATTACACGAAAACCCTCAATTTTTAAGTTTCTTGAGCAAACTTTCCAAAATACGAAACCGAAGTAGTGTAAAGTCGAAAATACCTGGGATGAAGTTGTAAAAAACGGAGTTCCAAATTTGAGTAAAACAAATGCATTCAGAATGGTGCACTCAGTGATATACATTATAACAAATAAACACTTTCAGTTCCTTCTGTAACACTATTAACTCTAGGCTGTTATGTCTGTTAACGGATTACATTTAGAATGCTTTTCACTTCATTCACATACAAACATGTGCTCCTCAAGCAATAGAGGACATTCAACAAAAACACTGGACAACTTTAATCGTCCTCTTTCTACTGCCGACCCTCTTGTTATGACTTTGTCATCATCACGATTACCATCTAGGTTCTGGACATGTATCCTCTGTCTACTTAAATCATACCTAAAGTGCATATGTAAGCTTTTAATGCCAATGCGACATACGAAATCGAAAAGTAACATACCACGCCAGTGACTGTGGAATCTCGTTCTATCAGTGTATTCTGTGACTCAAAGACACACACCATTCAAGAATGACCGTTCATCTGTCTTCATGTAGTCAATCTAGAGAGGAGGCAATTTATAAAACCTGCTCTTCAAAAGACTTGTCTGTTCCTTTTCTGCAACCTCAGGGGACTCGGCTTATCCATAGGTATAAAAGCAAAACAGACTCTCACAAGCCCGTTTCCAGTAGACGATCGCTTTCGTGCTGTAATACTAAGTGGGACAGAGGAAACCCGGATCGCAAGCAGAAATGTGCGTCATTGCCTCTACCTACTCTACTAACAACTGCAGTTTTGTGAAGTAAATATGTCTCACAGGGATAATCCTTTTCTCCGTATGATAACTAAATGCTAAGACTTCCTAACGGTACTTTAGGATGTTTTTATCCAAAGCCTCATGTCTCGAGACGGATAACAGTAACCGCCTGGTGAAACTTTACCGTGGCAGTTGTTTATTCCTAGGACACACCTATTTTATTATCAAGGAAATACGTCATGTAACGTGTCGACGTCCGAAATTGCCTCATCATTACACAGGACAGGCCTACTTATGACCATCCACCACTGAACAGGCTTGACAGATGTCTTTCGCTCACTGTTGAGACATGCTTAGACTCAAATTAAGCTCTGGTGTAGAAAGATATTTGAATATTTTCGGGTAAAGAGAAACTTCATTAGGATGATGGTTTCGCTTCCTCTCTCGCTATACCCTTTACATACCTTTCGCTCATAACCACACAAGGTTTATAAATAAACATTTTGTATCACATTTATATAAATTATCTTTTCAGATTCGCCGTATCTTCATTATATATGTAGGACCCCTAAAAATGGATATTTGATATTTACTAGCTGCAACTAAGTGGGACTTTCGTCGCCCAATCCCACACTATTACTGCAAAAACTCTCCTATCATCAAATTTTGCCACATTATTGGATCGGCTTTCGGTTTTTCTGAGATACATACATCACTTTTTATTCTTATTTTATCTCATAGATCGACTAAATAAATCGCTCACACCTTTCCCGATTCTTCCTTCCTTTGTTCATCAAAGTCAACTCAGCATTCTTCTAAATACTACGGAACCTATTTAGATATGTAAACATCAATAAGACTTGTGAGTAATTACATTTATGAGGATACCCCCTCTACTCAGACATATTGATATTTTATTACCCTTTTCATTTAATTGTAATTTTCATAGCATCACTCCAAACTATAACTGCACAAACATTTATTCTAGCGTCATATCTTACTGCAATTATAAGTTTTTTTTCTTAATTATTTTTGTTACTAATTTAACGATACACACATAGTCGTTTATTCTTCTTCTGTGTTCATAAACACGCCTATTAGACTGTTTGCGTATTTCACGTCTCCTTTATTTCTATTCCCTTATTTTCTCCATTTCCTTCTTTAAATTCAATTCAATATTCTTCTCAATTGCACAGACCCGATTTATTATTATTAATATTCTACTATTATTGCTCTAATTTTTTTTAACTGGCAAGTATAATGCTGACATTATTGAAAATTGTGTATTATTGCATTTTTGGAAGAAACCCGAAATGGTTTCTTCCCAACACTTATGTACCCATAAGATGTTTGTGAATAATAATAAAAATAATAGTAACACATATATTCCAATAGCCTGTTTGTGAATAGTATTAGTGATGGTAATTATTCGGTTGACGATTAAAAGTTTAGAAAGGCATTTTGTTTAGTTCAATCACTTAATTAGGATTTAGTACAATAACTACTCAGGGATATTGATATTTGTCTCTTAAACTTGCTACCTCCTTGAATTTTGTTTGTAACATCAGATTAGCTTCGACGTTCCCTCAACAGAACCTGTCTCATTAGATTCAAACCCTCTCACTAAGACCAAGGAGCTTTCACTAATAAACATTTGCAATAAAAGCGATTAGGCTAGAAGATATACGTGATTCTTCACATTTTTATGTAACATTTCTGAGGTAACAAGGACCTAAAATTGCCACAAGTATTCAAAATTTTACGTCGCCTTTACACTTAGCGTCTTTATTGTCGAAGTTTGTTAACTCAGTCAAATCAGAAGTCAGAAAACTAAAAAGTTCGAATATATTGGTAAGTGTTTTATCTAAGCTGGCTAATAGATGTGACATATGCGTAGCACGGCGAACCTGCTTTTGATCTATTATTAGACCAGTACAATCTCTTGCTTATTAACTATTTCCCTTGTTGTTTGGCACGCTAGTTTATGCTAAAAAACTTTTGACTGTATAGCACAAGTTTTCTTTCGGAGGCATTTTTTGCTTTTGATATAATTTGTTCACTTTAGTAGATTAGAACAGTTTAAATTGAACAAATTCTCCATACGCGATGCAGAAGAACGTAGTCTGGCCTAACACATTAAGTTTGGTTCGTTAATTCTGCGTTCAAACCGAATATTGGTATTTCCGTCACAACAACCATTAGCTTTATTCTATG